TTCATATTCCAATGTGATAAGGAGGCGCACTGATGAGGTATATATATTTGTAGGTCTGACTCCGCCCATGCGACAGGTGGGGCCTGCGTCTTTAGGGGCAAGCTCTCAATAACTCGGGGTTGGAGAGTTGTCTACGATTTGCCTTGCATTACGTCCCAAATGAATCACGCTTTTCCTAAATGTTAATTGATGACCACACAGTCTTGTTCGCTGCGCACGATGGGGCGTTTCAAGGGGCTTTATTTGACGCAACGCCAACCCACCTCTCCTTCAGTTGTGGAAGGGCCGAAGACTACAATCGGTGGAGAACGGGCCTGCGCCGCGCCAAACCCAGCTCCCTCTAGAACGACCCAGCGTCCACAGCGAACAGGAGTGTATTTCCTACGAACATCCGTGTAGAAATCACTCGTCACGCGAATATGTCATTAGGTCCGAACTTCGCGAAATGTTGAATAATTCAGACAATCTGCTACACACCTCGTCAACGTTGGCAACCGACGATGTGGCAATGGAAACTGCAGATCCGAATAATCCGCCCAGACGAAGCAAGTGTATGTTTTATCCATTACTGTGGCAGAGTTGTAGGAAGATTAACTCGTCACTTGTCATTAACAAGCCAGGCACTTTGATAGCGCAATGGTTGGAGGAGCCAATTTCGTTGGTACAAATTCTCCTCACTAGTTCAGTCTCGTCGGAGGCACATTCCGCGATGGTCGTGTGGCCGGCGCTGGGCCTGCCATTGCGTATTTTGCGTTGGGACACCTCGTAGCGGCGTGAGGTGCGGACCAACGAGAAGTAATGGTAGCTGTGGCTCCGCCCATACGACCATCTTGGAACGTTTCATCAGGCGTAGAACCTCATTCGACATTCAGTTCTATTTCTGTGAACTATGCAAAAATGGGGAACACACACTCCAATATATCTTTCAGTAGATCGTCGAAAGGCTGCGACAATGCGTGAGAGACGACGACTACGTAAAGTGAACGAGGCGTTTGAGATTGTCAAACAACGGACGTGCCCAAATCCGAACCAGCGACTACCAAAGGTCAGTTTATGCACGTTTCGGCGAAATTAGCAGTGCAGTTTACACAGAGCTGGAGTTCATTTACTCACAGATACAGCGGGAGAGAATGGTGTAGTGGCAAGTGGCGCCGCTTACCTAGATGCTGTGTGGCACCTCACGGTCAGATGCAGGCCTCGCATTCATGGCTGACCAGGCTTGAATTTGCTAACGGGCTAGCAAAATAATGAATAATAAAAATCTACTATGCCTACACGATTGTTGTCTTCCCACCCTAATGAGAATGAACGCTCATATAACGTATATAAACGCTACCGGCTAGCAAACTGGTGCACAGGGGTTGTCTGAAGCAGGGTACCTTGCCAAATCACTGACATGTACACTCCAGATCCCCTGATATATAGTGGGCGTGTCTGCTTCTTTCACATCGAAATATGGATACGTTTTTCTTTTCTGAAGACATCCATCTTCCAGGGCGATATCTGTCCAGCTTTCGTAGTTGACAAGAACCATGAATATTAATTCGTGCTAAACCGAAAATAAACTCAACCAGAAGCGCAGGTCGAAAGCTCCGGTCAATCCGAATACGTAAGCCACCGCTTCACGTTTTTCGGATAGTGATCTTACATTAACCTGATACGAGCCAATGCGCATGCAAAAACCCCTGCTACCTTAGGGCTACTCATGGGGATGGAATAAGTGGGGTATCCGCCCTTCTCAAAAACTGCCCAGCGCCGATGAGGATTGTGTATTTAAGATCTTCTTATCTACCTAATGATCTGTCCATTCATGCTGTTCAGTCGATGTCGCCGCAGTTAGTCGGGGTGGTCTCAAAAGGCATGGAATGAGGCCCATCCGCGGCGTTTTCCACCACTGATTGATTTATTTCCAAATCGGTCGCTAACCAATCACTGCCCGTAGGTAGGGCAACCGGAGGCGGGCATACCCGCCCCTCGTTCGTGAAACCGCCCAACTGATCGCTTCGATTTCAGCTATAGACCGAATGATTACATGGCGGACGTCAACACAAACTTTTCAGGTGGAGATCCTACGTTCCGCTATCGATTACATCACCAAACTGGAGACAATGTTACATGCCGAAGGAAAAATGACAAAAATTATGGCGCAAAATCAGATGATGCATGGTCACACCGGAGGCGAATACTTGGTGAGAAAAACGCTTTTCAAAAGTAGAAGCCAGTTGGTCTTTCATTCGGAGCTGTAGACGCGGCGGAAACAATTCATCAGCACTTGTAAGGTGATAGTGGGGAAAATCGGCGTATACTCACGAGCATTGCGGCTTCCTTATTGGTGCTCCACCCCCTCTGTACCATATATGGGGAAACAACATGATTGTTGTGACCCTCCGCCCCTCCGGTTATCGCGGAATATACCTCTGAGAGCTCAGTACCCCTCCTGTTCAAGGTTCAATGTTAGGACCAGAGTTCTTCAGCTGTTCTTTTCCCACCTCACTTTCCTTTCCTTTTCTTTTTTTCTATTTCTCACTTACGACCGCTTTCAACGTCAACGTTGAGCTTCACGCATTCCTGATGGAATCCTTACTTAGTCCTCTAGTTTCTTAACAAAAGGTTCGTCGAGTGCGCGAAGGCGAGAGCGGTCGAAGCCATAAGAAATGACCCCTCTACCCTGCGCCCACTACCATCTGCTCCTTCATTCCCACACCATGCAGATTCCCAGGTTGAGGCAACCACTCTTAGGGAGCCAAGCCAGACCACCCCCTTAACAGCTTCAACG